TCCACTGGGGCCAACTGAGTTATCAACCAACAACAACCAGCTCAAAAGAGTCCTGAAAATTTAACAATTGACTCCCACAAGCCAATACAAACCCACTTCCCCACATCGCTCAAAGGTCAATTTCGGGGCTGAGGACGTAGCTCAGTGGTAGAGCACTGGCCTAGCATGTGTGTGGTCCTAGGTTTGGTCTCTAGTATTGTGGGAAAAAATAAAAATAAGAGTTTGCGTGCGTGCGTGTGCATGTGTGTGTGTGTGTGTGTGTGTGTGTGTATGTGTGTGTGTGTGTATTTCTTGTTCCAGGGGAGTGGCCAATAGCTGAGCAGCCCAAGGTAGGATGATAAACTAAGAAATGAAAAATAAAAAGCCAATGTGTTGGAGAAATCTGAGTTCTTCTGACTCCAGAGCACTTGATATCTCCTGGGAGAGGGAAAATGTTTTCTTTAAAGGGGTAACACCGGGTATGTTGACCAGACTCCACGAGATGGACCTACACTCACAAATAAGACTCAAAAGACCTGAAAAAATAAAGGACATGAAGTTGATGGGGTAGAGAGGTGGGGGTGGAGACAGGGAAGGGGATCTGAATACGACCAAAATATATTGTATAAAATTCTCAAAGAATCAATAAAAATATTTTTTTAAAAAACAAAACAATGCATTGAGAGGCTGGAGAGATGGTTCAGTGGTTAAGAGCACTGGCTGTTCTTGCAGAAGTCCTGGTTTTGAATCCCAGGACCCATATGGTGGCTAACAACCATTTATAACTCTAGTTCCGAAGGATCTGATGCTCCTTGTCTATCTGGGATACTGCATGACACAGGTGCACATACACACACGCAGGCATAACACTCATACACATAAAATTAAAATAAATAAATAATTTTCTAAAGATTTAAAAAACTATATTAATGCATTAAAAAAGTCACAGTACCTTTCCTGAACCTCCCCTGCTCGCCATTGTGCTCTCCACCATCACATGGTAATGCAGCCAAAAGATCCTTATTAGAGACAGACTCATTAGGGCCATCCAGCTGCAGACGTCTAGCCTCTAAAACTATGAGTTAAACAAACCTCTTTTCCTTAAAAACTATCCAGACTTTATTTTGTTATAGCAACAGAAAACGTACTAGGATACAAAAATATTTTATCATACCCAGAACTAGGGCAGTAATGAGAAAGAGTTTGCAATCAAAATCAAAATAATAAAACTTTAGACTATTTTCCCCTCCTCTCAAGTAGTACTTAACTCAGAACAGGTATGCAGGTAGTGGTGACAAGTTATCTGTTCTTGCTGTTTCCGACTCTGGACAGAAGCTGGAGTTGAAGGAAACAAGGCCTGAGTATTTGGAGTGTCGGCGAATTTTTAGACAAGCAAGAATGAAAGCTTCTTCTCCTTATCAAACTTTTAATTCATAGGTTCTTTTCATAAGGCAAAGAATTAAAAGTTTACATGTCCAAAAGACAGCCGACAGGATTTTCAACAATTTGAATATCTATCTAAAACAACAGTAAGTACCAAGTATGCTTCCCACTATCAGTTTTTCCCACAATCTGCTGGTGGGATGGATTTCTTTTCTTTCCAGAGCTCCCTATCGCAACTCTGTCCCCAGCACTGAGGCAGGGGAACAGGGTGATCAGTGAGGTACAACCCTATGAGCAAAACAAGTTGGCAAAGAGGAAGGAAGGCTGAGAGCCCCCCTCACTCCCCACTGTCTTCGCAATCCCCACTCCCCTTATCTCCCAACCCCAGCCAAGGTCAACTAGAACTTGTTTAGAAGTCTATGGCTCCTAGTAATTCTTTTTCTTTTTTTTTTTTTTCGGTCTTTTTGAGACAGAGTCTCCCTGTAGCTTCAGCTGCCCTGGAACTCACTTTGTAGACCAGGCTGGCCTCAATCTTCCAGAGATATGCCTGCCTCTGTCATGTTGTGCGACACCCCCCACCCCCCCCACCCCCCGCACCAGTGATGGGAGTAAAGGTGTGCACCACTACGCTCAGCAGCTCAGCGGCTCCTTATAATTCTAAAACACACACCCTGGTTGAAGTTTCAAGGTGCCAATGAGACAGGTAAGGCACACGACAGCAGCAGAGCTACATGTAACAGAACATGCGTGGAAAAGCCTGCATGACTGCATTACAGAAGTGAGCCAGAAAACCGGGTTAAGGTACTATAAAAGACCCAACTCTTTCATGCAGTGGACTAAGGAACTGATGAATTCCCTTTGCTCCAGCACACTTCCTCCCTAAGAAATGTTTCTGATGGTGGTGGTAGTGGTGATGTGTGTGTGTGTGTGTGTGTGTGTACATTTGTGTGTGTTCATATGTATGCATGTGTGCATGTACTTGTTCACATGCATGTGGAGGCCAGAGGTGAACCTCAAGTGTTGCTTCTCAGGAGTCAGCCACCTTGCTTTTTGAGACAGGGTCCCTCACTGAACCTGGAACTCACCAATTCAGCTAAGCTGGCTGGTCAATGAGCCCGAGGGATCCACTGTCTCCAACTCCCCAGAACTGGGATTGAAGCAGAGGTCACCACACCTGACTTTTTTTTCTGTGGGGTGTAGGGGTCTAATTCAGGTCCTCATGCATGCATAGTAAGCACTTTACCAACTGAGCTATCATATCTCCCCAGCCCAGAAATGTATGTTTTCTTCATAAACCAGCCCAGCTTCTGCTGCAACTATGTGCCACTGTTCGGTTCTTTGGGCACTCAAGAGCCATGAGCCCCTGTGGAGGTGCCCACGGAACCTCCTACCTTAGCTGATAATCACCATCACATGGAGGAACAGACAAACAGATATGCAAGTCAAGTTTCTTGAGCATAAGTGGGCCTCTCTGTGCACCTCAAATGGTTGACAAGGATGTCCTTCCGTTAGCATTTTTCACTTTCTGCCCTAGCCTGTGTGAAGTCACTATAGCTGATGCAAAGACTCTGCCATTGTTTGTAGGATGTAGTGTCATGAGTTGAGTGTCTCAGGGATGTGACTCCATGTTGTCCCCCTCTGAGTCATGTAGGGAACCAGCCCATAGGCCCGGTCTGTGAACCAAATGTCTATTACAGTGCAAATACTTAGTCTACAAGGAAAAAGTATCAACCTCAATGGCTTAAGAATGAACACTAGAGTCACAGAGTTAGCAGGATCCAGCACGAGATTCATCAGCTGTGGAACATCCAAAAATCATATAGTTTCATGATAAACAACAGGTTATGGGCTGGTGAGATGATTCAGTGGATAAAGGCGCTTACTGAGCAAACCTGGACACCTGAGTTTGATCACCAGAACCCACCTAAAGGTAGGAGAGAACTAACTCCACAAAGTTGTCATTGGACTTCCACACACATGCTGTGGCATGCACAAACCACCCCCCACACACACACCACACACTAATAATAACAATAACAATTCTTTTTTTTTTTTTTGAGACAGGGCCTCACTATGTAGTTCAGTCTGGCGTGAAACTCACTATGTAGACCTTGAACTCAGAGATCCACCTGCTTCAGCATTACAAATGCTGGGATTAAAGGCATGTTCCACTACACCTGGCATAAAATTTTTTAAAGAAAAAAAATTTTCTTGATTTTCAAAAAATTGGGCTTAAGAGATGGCTCAGAGTTTAAGAACACTGACTGCTCTTGCAGAGGACATAGGTTTGGTCCCCAGCATTCACATGGGAGCTAACAACTGTCTATAACTACAGTTCCACGATATCTGAGACCCTTTTCTGGCCTCCACAGGCATTGCACGATATGGGTACACTTATATCATGCAGGCAAAACACTCATACGCATGAAATAAAAATAAATAAATCCAAAACTTTTTTGAATTATAAAGTAAAACAGACTAACATGCAAAGGTAGAACAAGATCCCACTGTGCATTCGTCTGTAGCTAATGCCTGTGGGCTGATAGAAGAGAAGAGGACTGGGTGGGCATCAACATGAACAGAGGTAGGATGTGAGGCAGTGAGGTTTTATGAGGGTAGAGTGTGGGAAGAAATAAGAGACATAAAGGAATGAACATCCACATATACACATGTGTCTACATGTGTGTGTGTCGTCCTGGACACAATCATGTACTACTGGACTCCCAGAACCTCAAGTTTGGTGTTGAAGGCAAAAGGGGAACTGAAGGGCTCTATTCTCCCTACCTGACTCCCCGCCATAAAACTCCATGATGAGTAAGAGCAAAGACTGACGTCAGACCTGGTGTTTATAACGAACTCTTATAGTCACTGTCTGAGGGAATCTGGGAAAGTTATTTAACCTCTTGGCATCACTTTGTCATCTGTAAGATGATTATATTTCTTAATGTTGTAGGTGTATACAAATAGTAAGGTTTTAACAAGTAGTAACAAAAATGTGTAGGGTTGGGCATGGTGGTGCACACCTGTAATCCAGCACTGGAGGCTAAGGCAGGAGGATTGAGAGTTAGAAGCCATTTTGGGTTACATAATGAGGGCAAGGTGGTGCACACCTTTAATCCCAGTGCTTGGGAGGCAGAGTCAGGTTTATCTCTGTGATATCAAGGTCAGTCTGGGTCTACATAATGAGTTCCAAGACACCTAGGGCTACAGGGGGACCCTGTCTCCCCGAAAAATTTGAAAAAATATTTTCATAGACCTCATTTCTCAAAATGGTCTGATCCCAAAGGAAAACTGTACCTTGATAATGAAATAACCTCCAATAAAGAAATTTCTAAATACATTCACATTCTACAATTTTTTTATTTGCTGCAAGTTGTTTGAGACAGGGAAGAGAGATTACAAACAGCTCTTAATCACTTGTGGCTCTTGGGGCTCCCAGAGTGAAAACATGCAATTCACAGAACAACATTCCCCAGTGATTTCAACCAAACCTTTTACAAACATTTTCACAAGTAAGCAAATAAATTACCCAGAGCCTTCTGTCTTACTGTGCCTCCCACCTCTGACAAAGGTGCTGGGAGGCTGAGATTGCCAACACTCCCAACAGGACATGCAAGGCGGCAAGAGAGCTCCTGGGGTCTTCGTGCTATGCTATTGCTGTTTGGGGCTATTTTGTCTTTAACATAATCAATCCTAGTTTTCAGTACTGAGGGGTTTCACTATGGCTACCTGACCTAGCACTTTATCACAGCAAATCAAATATGTGGTGTAAATGACAGATCTACTTCACTCTACAAATCTAGAGTAGTTCTTTTTTAACACAATTTAGGATCTGAAGTCTTACATCACCCGTGACTTCCTCCTCTCCTGCTGTCAGGGGCTAGTGCTAATTAATAACAGAAGACTACTGAATGTTGATATGTCTGAAAAGCAAGAGCAGTGCCCAGTTCCCCTCTCTGCCTTTGCTCTTGTAGAGCACCTATGATTTTCTCTGTGAGCACTGTTCTAGCTGAGGACTTACTGCAGCTTGAATAGCACTGGCCTCTCTGGCCTCTAATGACTGGCTTCTCCAAGCACAGGAAGGCCTTTCTATGAAGTAAGCTGGCTACTGGGCAGGCCTCAGGCTGTGGGCAGGCCTCAGGCTCTAGCACTGGCCTTCTTGTTGTTGTCATAGTTGATGCCACCAATGCCCTCCAGTACGTTCATGGGCAGGGGAAACAGGATGGTGGAATTCTTCTCTGTGGCCACAGTGGTCAAGGTCTGTAGGTAACGCAGCTGGAGGGCGATGGGCGACTCAGTCAGCACCATGGAGGCCGACTTGAGAGACTTAGCAGCATTCATTTCTCCCTCTGCTGCAAGGACCTAAGATGAAAGGAAGACAAGTTGACATTTGAATGGCATCCAAGGCTTTCTTTTGGGGGGGGTTGTGCCCCCACTTTGCCGTTTGTGCTTCTGTGAAGACAGGATTTCACATCCTAGGGGATTAGAGAAATTCAAGGAGTTGTGCAAAGGGGGTAAATATTTTACAAATTATTCATCCTCAATTTTCATTTTCAAACACAAAGTGCTGTCCTTAAGCAAATGAAGACTTGGATCTCTAGCTTGACAATGCTCTTAAGGCCCTTTGGGTTTCAATATCTGCTGAATTCATTTTTTGAGAAGTCTAAAATTCAAAGGCTCCTTGAAGTAGGTTTTTTGTTGTTTTTGCAAGACAAATAGGCTTTGTGGTTGTTTGGTGGTTTGTTATTTTGTTTGTTTTTTGCAATATATTTTATTTATAGTCATTTATTTTGTTTGCTTTTTATTAGTGCAAGAAAGTGAAGGCTCACCACAATATGCATATGGAGGCCGGAGGTCAGAGGACAGCCTTCAGGAGTCCGTTCTCTCCTTTTACTGTGGATCCCAGGGATCCAACCTGGGTTTTCAGGTTTGTGTGGGAAGGGCCTTTACCTGCCTAGCCATCTTACTGGCTCCACTTTTATTCTGTTGCTAATTTAATCTCCTTTTTGTGATGTCAGGTATGTTTCTAGTTCTCTCAGCTTTTTGTCACAGAAGGCCCCAGCCTAAGAACCCTCACCAGGACTCTCTTACTAATGCCTTTCCTTCTGAGATTGCCCTAGAGAAAGTCAGCTGGGGCTCAGCTGTCCCATCTGTGGGCACTCACTTTCCTTGTGCCAGAGGGAAATATTAGCCTTTGTTGAGTCCCTACTGGGAGCTGCTCAGATGAAGCAGGTGTGACTAAGAAAGAAGGGCAGGAAAAACCTTCCTCAGCCATAAGCAAGTTTCCAAAGAGGATACCTCAAGATTTCTATCCACACAGAAGCATCTAATAGCTTTTACTACACTCAGGGCCAGGATGAATTTACACGTTTTAATTAGAACCTGGCTTGTATTTAGTCACTCTTTTCAATCCAGTAACATTTATCATGCTCAAATAATGATTCTCAAAACATAAGCACCAAGTTAGCCACTGCTGGAATGACAGATTTGTAAAGATGCTGGTTCCTGGATGCCCCTAGGCCCTGGTTTACTGGGTCTGGATTATTTTGCTTTGTTTCATTTTCCAGGAGATCTGATGTATGGCCACTGTTGGTCCCTGAATTGTTAATGACTCAGCATGTAGCCAGCATCCTCTTGACCTGTATGAAGTTTCCTCCAGGTATAGTAAGCTTCTGATTGTCTTTTAATTCAAAGGAGCTTCTCAGGGGAAAAATATCAGTAGAATCACTTTTGAACGATAATATGGATCCTGCACTTCCTCTTAGCTCTATCCTTGTCCCTCTCCTGTTAATCCGGTGTTCCTTACCCTGGCTCTGGCTTCCCGAGTGGCCTCAGCCTCAGCTGCCATGGATCTCTGCAGCTGCACAGGAATACGGACATCTTTGATTTCGACCCGGGCCACCTGGATCCCCCATAGCTCAGTGGCATCATCAAGCAAGGTCTGTTTCCATGTAAAAAGAAAAAGCATTGATCAGAAGACATGTGGCCTTATACAAGCATCTGGTCTGTTAGGGTAGGCTAATCCTTTCCAAACTTTCTATCATATTTGGAATTGAAGTGAATCTCACAAAGTTTCATGAACAAATCTTGGTGGATCGTGCACTAGAGATGCAGCTCAGTTGGTAGAACTTACCTGGCATGCAGAAAGCCCCAGGTTTAATCCCTAACACAACATAAAATTGGGTATAGCAGCTCATGCCTGTAATTTCAGCATTCAGGAGATGGAGGCAGGAGGATTAGAAGTTCAAGGTCATATTCAGCTTCGAGAGAGTGAGAAGGGATAAAGACAGATAAAGAAATCAGGAATGGGTTCCCTAAGACGGCAGCTTCTTGTTCCTGGGGGGGGGGGGGCGTTGCAGTGGAAAATGTTACTTAAAAAAAAAAAAAAAAGAGCCCACCCAGGGGTGGACACCCAAGCAGGACCAATAAGAAGGAAGGAGAAAAGAAGATCCAGTGTCCTTATAAGACCTCAAACCCAGAGCCCATTTATCAGACTCCCAGCTCTGGGACCCCTTCCCTTCCCCAAGGATCTGCTTGCTTCTTCGCTAAAGCTGTTTCTTTCACTTTCTTCATCTTTAGGTCTTCTATCTTTCCTGGACAGTCAGTTCTTTGCCTGTCTCACAGAAGTAACTCAGTTACCCCCGAACTGGCCACCCAAACTCTTGTTATACAGCGATATAGGGAATTTGAGGCCAACCTGGGATACATGAGACTCAGTCTAAAAAATAAATGTTGATGTCACTTGTTGATCAACCCAAAGAATCCACCCATAACCACCCCTGACAAATTATATGATATCCTTCTAAGTTTGAGGAATGTGCCAGATTTTGTCACTGGTATAAGCAGACTTCAGTCATGGGCTTCTCAGACAGACCTGGATTCTGTCCTGCCTCTACCATTTGCAGCTGTGAATCACTGGACCAGTTTGTGAACCTGAGTCTCAGTTTTCTCACCCCTGACAGGCTTCCTGTCAGCATTGCCAGGCAGTTTTGAAGTAATACATGTAGCAACCAGTCCTTAAAAATGACCTGGAAGTTATTATTATGGATACTTTTCAAAATATATATCTTGCTTTCATAAGCCACTGTCCTATGGCCATTTTAAAGCAAGTAGCAAAGATATATACTTTTAAAATAGAGATGTTTTTAGAACATATTTTAGGACATTTTAAGGATAGTCTGTCCTTTGTGAAAAATGTAAAACCGTGGAAGACATGTTGCAGGCTGTCCTGGAGAGAAACGGACAAGAAGGCATGGAGAAATGACGTGGTCAAAGGGAGCACGCCAGAGAACTCTGTCACCAAACGGTCAGCGATCCCTATGCTGTTGGTCACTCCAAAGGACACCAGGAGTCGGTGAGACCTCCTAAGATGCTTGTGATATGGCTTTGGGTGGAGAGTATCTGAGTTGTCAAACTTTTAGAGCTCTTACAGATGGTGTAGGGAATCCTTATGCAGAAGTAACACTGCCTTCTAAGACCCTAGGCAGAAGCCAAGAAGGACCCAGTTTGAATTTCCTTCTAACTTACTGGAAGGGGGCTTAGAACCACAGTACTATTGATTTAAGAAAATGCAGAAACATGATTCATAAACTATAATATGTAAGTAGTGAGGTAAGACCTGTTATATCCTTAATGATTGTCATTTTTATTATTTGTATATTGCTATACAATGTGGTATACTATACAGTATATTTTTTATTTATCTATTTCTATACAGTATGGGTAAAAATGTCCATACATTGCCCATTTTTGCTATCTCAAATGAATCTTCCTCTAAGTTTTTCATTCCACTTAAATTTAGAGATTCTGGGGCTACCTGAGAAATGGCTGCCTTTCTTTTAGGGTGGTCTAAACTGAATATAAATCTGATTTCTAACCTCTTCAGAAAAGGTTAAGCATATAATATTTATTTATAATTTTGAATTAAAAAGAAGGCACACAATTTCTAGGTGTCCCTTCTCCCATGAAAATGTTTAAGTCCATGCCTTGTAATACTAGGCAAATAAAATTACCAGAGGAAAACTCATCTTATGAGTGCAGCTCTCTGTGTGTGGGAATCCTGGGGGAGGCTCCAGACTACTAATATTGATGGTCACTAGCCATTAAGATGAGGGAATTCAAGATGTTGGCTGTTGGTACTTTACCTGAATGCTATGGGCGATCTCTTCTCGCCCAGATAAAATCTGAGACAAGGTCTGTGTCCCTAAGACATTTCTCAGAGTGGTCTGAGCCAGCAGAAACGTGGCTTGGTGAACATCATTGACATTGGCCACTGCTGAGACAGCACTGTGGATTCTGTAATAGACAACTCCATCTACCTGGGTGGTCACAGAGTCTCTTGTGAGGATCTGTAAAGGATGAACAGGGTAAAACCACATGTGTATTACTACTTTCATAGCAACTGATAAAGAGCATTCAGCCCAAGAGCCCCCATGATAGGCATCTGGTCTTTGATTGAGTTTCCCATTTGCTCAAAGGGGTTGGGGGTGGGGCTCACAGAAGGATATCATTAATGGTAACTCGTAGTAACACTCACCAAAAACCTGTCCTGGTTTCAGTTAACAATCTTACTCATAGCAAAATGCCCTCACAGATTTGGTCCCTAGGGCTTCATCTTAGAGAATTCTTATATCCCAAAGGCAAAAGCCCCATCATCTTCTAGAATCTTACCATCTTCTTCTAAACAAACAAAGAATACATGTCCCTGATTCCTGTCATCTACCTGGTTCTCAGTTCTCATCAGACTAAAGAAAGCAATGCTTCTTAGGAAACATAGATGGCACCAGAGACCATGTTTTATATTCAGGTAAACAAATCAGCTTTAGAGAGGCTCAACATTAAGTCATTCTGGATAATGTGATGATGTGTTGGGAAGCAAGTGAGGTTTCTGGGACCAGAACCTAAAAGCTGCCCATTGCAGAGCCACAAAAGCCTCATGAAGCCTTACAATTGCTCCTATGGTGGCTGACTTCTGAAGCCGGTCCTCTGTGGCTGACAACCCACAGTGACTGGTAGGTATCAGGGCTTTGATTCACTTTCCCATCTGCTCATCGTCTTGCCCTCCCCTAGCCTAACTCTTGCTCACAGTTTCTTTTCTTTCCAAATGCCTTTGGTTATAAGAGGACACTATGATTACGAGCCACCCCCTCCTCTTGTTTGCTGTCCAGTTACTGGTTTTGGTCATTCATTCACAATATTTCAAGAATTATTTAAAATCCAAATGCAAGTGGGTAGATCCTGCATAGCCTCTGTGCTGTCCCTACACTTGTCTGTTCTGTTATATCCAAATACACACAAAAAAAAAAACAGTGAAAGCAAAAACGAGTCATTAGTTATTTCTAAAAGCCATTCCGAGGAGGCTGTGTTAAGTGCCATATCCTAACCAACTGCTGCCCTCTACCAGGCTCCAACCAGCTCCTTCCTGCGACTCCTCTGTCTCCTCTAAGCATCTACCGTCATTCTTTACCTTCCCTGCCAAGCGCACGTTTTCTCTCAGGCTTCCTCCATTCGGTCATTCTAAGGCTTCCAATATTTCAGCCCTCACCCTGGGTTTCATTCTCATTTGTCAAAACAAAACCGAGAAGTTTTAGAAACCACTGAAAACAATTAAGCAGGTCCCACAGTGTATGTATGTGTGTGTGGGGGGGGTGGATTCAGTTCATCCTCCCCTATGTAGGTTAAATATAGGTTACTTTAAGAGTTTGGGGCTGGAGAGATGGCTCAGCGGTTGAGAGCACTGACTGCTCTTGCAGAGGACCCGGGTTTGATTCCCAGCACCCACATGGAGGCTATGAACCATCCTAAACTCCAGTTCCAGGGGAATTAGATGCCCTTTTCTGATCACCACAGCATTGCATGACATGGTGCACTCACATTCATGAAGGCAATATACTCATAGACACAAAATAAAAAAAATAATAAAATACTTTTTAAAAAAGAGTTCGATAGCCCATGTTAAGGAACTACAGGTTTTTTTCCTAGTAGCCCATATTTAATCTTTTACCTCTTGTGGAGGAATGTTGCAAGTAACTGTTCGCAGATCAACTTTGACAAAGACATCTATGCAGGGCAGGACCAGGATCAAACCTTCAGAAAATAAAATTGATTTAAAATTTGACATATTCAAAATAATTACAAAAATAATCTCCTAGCCTTATTGAATATCATTTTTATGATGCTGTATTTCTCAATGATCTTCAATATGAACACATTCAACTTAAGGGAAAGATGACTTCCTCTTATATCAATAAGTAAAGAGAATTAACTACTTAGGAATTAAAGTCCTTTGATAAGAATCCAATGATTTCTTACATTCATTTAAAAGCATTCTTAAACACTGTACTTGTATCTAGAGATTAATTTAAGGTTAATTTTAAAGGGTGTTTTGGAAATTGGTTTCTTTGTAAATTTTTATTTATTTATTTATTTATTTGTTTATTTATTTAATGTGTATTTGTGTTGCTTGCATGTATGTAAGTGCACCTGTGCATGTACTGCCTTCAGAGGACAGAAGAGGGTTTTGGATCCCCTAGAACAGGAGTTACAGATGGTTGTTAACCACTATGTTGGTGTTGGGAACCAAATCCGGGTCCTCTGCAAGAGCAGCCAGTGCTCTTAACCATTGAGCCATCTTTCCATCCCCAATTGGTTTCTTAATAATAAAGGCATTTACATAAAAGAGTCAAGTTAAAGACTTTTAGCTTTGAGCATCAATGACAGGAAATAGTCTCAACATCTTTAACAATACTACTAAAATCTCCCATCTGGTCTCAGGAAGCTAAGGCAGGAAGATCACAAGTTCAAGGCTTGCCTGGGCTACACAGGGGGGTTTAAGGCCAGTTTGGGCAACTTAGAGAAAGCAGGTCTCAACATTTCAAAAAATTTGAAAACAAAACAAGGGAACAGCCAGGGGTGCAGCTCAGTGGTAGAGCACTTGGTGTGTGGCTGACATGATGTTCCCAGGTCTCAGATCCCTTGAGAACAATGCACTGCAGAGCTGGCAGGATCAGAGCAGCTGTGTCCGTGTCCGACTGCAATGGGAGTCCTCAGGTAGAAACTCTTTTGCTTCTGAGTTGTAAAATATTGGGCTTGGAGGAGGTCAGGGAAGGGTGAGGACAAGAAAGTTCACATGAAGACATTGTGGGTGCTGTGCAGTGTCCTGGAGGACCATCTTTATAAGGATCTCAGGCGTGTCAGCAAGAGGAGGACACAAAGCCATTTCTATCAATCGGCACTAGTAGCAAAAGCCAAGAACACTGTTGGACTAATCTTTTTTGTTCTCTAAAGCTTCCTGAGACCTGTTCTAAGAATCACTGCTCCATTTACTTCCTGTCTTTGGTATGAGGTCATTGGCTAACACTGTGGCCCTGAGAACTACCTAGAGATCAGTGTCAGCCAACCTTGTGCCTGGAGCCATTCACCTGTCTTTCCTGAGCTTCCATTACATAAGACACACAGTAGATAGTGAAGATGAAGCATGAGTCACCATGACAACAAAAGCCGAGCATGGTTCCAGGCAGGTGTGAAATGCTCGCTAAGTGGTAGCCTTTCTCATTAATACGTTCATTATTAGAGAATAATTTGCAATTTTCAAAAGTGGAGAGGTTTTCTGTTGGCAATTTGGCTCGTTTCCCTCTGTTCTCATGACATTCTGAGGTAACTCATTAGCCCCAGAGACACATATGACGAGAGTTATTATCCTGGGACATTTAGCAGTGAAATCTCCTGGGAAAATTCACTTATGCGAGATAAATTTTCCTCTGGAGTAACCCAACTTACGGCTCTTCTGTTTCTCTCTCTGATCCAATTTTATTTTAACTTATAATTTTAGGTCTACCAGATGGGGAACGTGACCGAAGGGGACGAACTTGGTGCTGTTAATTCTCCATTGCATGAGCCTACCACTTCTGTCTTATAAACTCTGAAGAGCATTCATAAGAAGTAATTCTTCCTTCTTTCTCTTAGGTTGTTTTGAAACCAGACAAGAAAAATGATACCATCTGGCAAGGCCAAGGCTTGTTCACAAGTTTAAGCTTTTGAAGTTTCTCACATTTATTTCTTAATGCAGGATGTCTAAACACAGCATGGTTCATTTATGGTCAAGTATAGAGTCACACTGTGCATAAAAGACTTCTGCCTCCAGAGACCTTACGGCACGGTTGGAGAGAGAGCAATTTTACTCAAATGAACTGGAGGAGCGTGCAGAAAACAAGTGTTATCAGAGAAATATAAGTAATAACCATTGTTTGCCATGGGCCTTCTAACATGATTTGTGATAGTGCTTCCTAGCAACAATACTAGAATTAACTATATGAAACCGTTATGAGGCAAATACGGGCAATTTCAGAAGGTTCCATGAGCATCCACTAAGAGAAGCCATAAATCAAGATCTTAGTTCTAGGGCTCTTTATTATCCAACATCTCCTACTACCCCCTAAACCAAAAAGTCATTTTATAACATGAATAGTTTGGAACATTTTTCCTTCTGAGGTTTAAAATAAAAGGGATGGAAAGAGGCATTAGATGCTGGAAAGCTCACATTCACCTCCTGACTGGGACAATCAGTTAAAATCATTAACTCTATGTTGATCTTGAGTTCTTTATTTTTCAAACTTAGAGGGCTTGACCAGGGAGTTGTGCAAGGACTTCCAGCTACTTGCCACAAGAGGAAACTGTTCTGTTTGTCAGCCCTTTCCAGAGGATGAAGTCCAACTCCTTGAACATTCCCTGAGAGTAGTCTAATGGTCTACACTGGCCATTTACTCTCTCCCTTGATTCTCTTGACCTGCTCTTGGCAGCCCTGGTCAGAAGCAGCATCCATCCACTGTAACCCATTCATTGGACTTCTTGGGAGGGTAAGTTATAAAGCAGGTTCAGATTTCAGAACTCTCCAATTGGTGGTCTCTCTCACTAACTTGCATGATGGAGCAACATCTGTTTACTGCCTAAAACATAAGGGCTCCAGCTTCCCACGGCTTTCCTTGGATTCTCACTAGGTACCAGTGGTGGTGGTGATAGCATCAACAGGTGCCCATGATCTCTGCCAGGGGAGCCACAGTGCCATACCTGGTCCCTTGGCTTTACCAGCTTGGATGCGTCCCAGTCGGAAGACAACAGCTCGTTCATACTCCTTAATGATCTGAGAGATTAAGGGAGAACATTTAGTCTCAATGTCTGTCTGCTCATAGGGAGAGCCCCGTTTATTTCCCAGGGCATTACCTTCAAGCACATCCATATGGAGATGGGGAAGGTAATGAGCATCAACAGGAAGGAGAGAGAACACAGAATCCAGCCACACACACCAAGCCGGTTTTTGTTGATGCCTGGGAAGTAAGAAAGAAGCAAACTTGTAATCAATGTGACTCAGCAAAGCTGTCTGCAGCTAGGTGAGGAAACTGTCCTGATGCTGACCAAGCCTAGTGGGACTGAAGAGCAGGACTAAACTCACTCGTACCATGAGTGTAGTTATGCACAGCTGTGCACACATGTGCATACACACATGCAATGTTTAGGGGGAGGTATTTAGAGATTTAAATTGATTTGTTCCTTTTAAGAAGCCTCTTAGCAATCAACAGTGATAATTATCGTGTTTCCAAAGGGCTAGCACGGTTTATCATTTTCCAGACACACAAAACAATGTGTCTCAGATGTGACCATGAACCACTCACATCAGAACCATAAGATTCTTGGGCCCATTGAATTCTGCAGATGAAATTCAAAACAACTCTTAAGATAGGTAGGGAGCACTATTATCCCTAGAGGAAGGAGTGATGTGGCATGTGGGAAAACATCTTGAGGCCTGGGTATGAGTTCCTTGAGCTCCTGGGTATGGTTACATACCAACTCTAGGGCCTTACCCAAGCCACGCTGTCTCTCTGAGTCTCTATGCTTTCATCAGTAAGATGGAGATAGAATTTCCCAACTTTGGAAGATCTGATGAAGACTAAAGATTACTTTTACATGGCTCTTGATCCATCTCATGCATCAATGTGCATATGTGTCCTATTCCTTTTACTTTATAGCTGGATAGGAAATCCAAGGACTTGCCACACCTTAATGTTCATCTTTTCACATTGGGTTGGCTCATTAGATTCTTTTTGTTAATCACAGATTCAGGAAGCATTTGGCTTGATGAATATTGCTTTGTAATAAGACGGAACCAATTTCAAGTCCCACTTCAACTGTTCAGCACCTTGTAGCATTAGTCACATCAATCATAATTTCTTACTTGTAAAACATGCAGGTCAGGCCAACCCTTTAGGTTAGAATTTCTTCTAGTATTGTGAAAGAAAAGTTCCCAAAAAGAACTCCTGCGCCTTGGACTGAACTTCCTGCAAGGCTGATCAACTGATTATCACTCCGGAGACTGTGGAGAGTTTGCAATGTTGCAGGTCCAGAGTCTAATTACCATTTATCTCAGGCCATTTTTAGCCCCCTAAATAGCCACTCCTTACCCACTTCTGTTTCTCATCTAACATCCTGTGACTAACAGATAAAATCCTTTTAGAATGTATTATCCTAGTAGACCACCCAGGCTCACCTATCAAAAGGCTAAGAATGTCATCAAATAGCATCTGAGACCTATAATAAAAAAACCCTCGCTTTGCTGCAACCCACCTACTGAATGTATCCTCCAATGTATTTAAGAAGTATCTTGATTTATAACTTTTCTTTGTTCTGTTACTATAAAAATGTAAAGCAACTGTTACCACCCTGGAACACGGAATTTGGGGTAACCTGAATCTGTGTTCCCGGGCCATGGTCACTCATATTTGGCTCCAATATAAACTACCTCTTATCACCTGTGAGGTGATAGTTATGGTTTTGTGTCGACAGTATTATTTTCTTCCTTTGTCAGCCTTCCTCTAGTCCCCTGTCCTTGGCCATCACCCCCATTCTTACCCTCCATCTCTCTGGATTGAGTCACATTCTCCACTTGAACACTAGAACTAATTTTCTTTACTAAATATCTCCACCCTGACAATCACAGAAACGATATACGATAATGCCTTCTCCAGTTACCATGTCACCCACGTTAGAGACTTGGATCATAACCGCCTCCTCCCTAAGTCACTTTGGTACTGCCACTGACACAATGGGACCCGAGCCATGGTTCTAAATATTTAGGTGAGTTCTGGGTTTTTGTTCTTACAAAAATGCTATAATCAGGCCGGGCATGGTGGTACACAACTTTAAACCCAGCACTTGGGAGGTAGAGGCAGGAGGATCTCCCTAAGTTCAAGGCCAGCCTGGTCTACGTAGTGAGTTCCAGACCAGCTGGAGCTACAGGGAGACCCTGTCTCAAAAAGACAAAAAAAAAAAGAAAAAAAGCTATGATCAGTATTTTTAAGTTTCTCTTTTGTGCATATATGTAGGATAAATTCTTAGTAGAGGATGTATTAGGCCAGAGTGATTTATGATCTTGATTTGTAGCCAATGCCTGTCAAGTTTAGACCAACCTGCTTCTCCCGCAGGTCATATGCCTGTTTCTCTATGTTCTGTCCTAGTGGGATCATTTCAGACTTGTCAATCATTATATTCTGATAAGTGAAGATTATTTTTAGATACATATTTCATTAAAAATGTATCTGAAAACATTAAAATTTTTGTTCTTAATAGGGCTTTTATAAGTGTTCTGTATAGGATCTAAATATGCATGAAGACTGCATTGTGAGTAAGGAGGGCCTGGGTGCCTACTTCAAAGATTAAATTCCTGCAATATCATCTTCTGAAGTCATGGACCTGCATCGAAGTAAATCTGACTGTCTCTATGCAGGATAAGAAGACGCTGTGTGCTCACAGAAGCATTGCTGCATTTTATTTGTTATTTGTTAGTCATTTCCAGTATTACCTATCCAGCCTGAATATATGTTCTCACTGAAAAAACAGTCAATGCTAAAGACCTAAGTTCACCCTAACTACCTCCTTCTCAGCTCTACTTTTATCTAGAGATGAAAAGTAATTATCATCAATTTGTATCCCTCTTTACAGGCCAATTCCTGAGTCTTTACAAACATATTTTTATGTTTAGAAAATATTGACTTTGCTTTCTATATCTTACTGTAGATAAATGGCACCCCCACTGAACCTAACGTTCTGCTTCTTACGTTTATTTTCACTTATCAACTTTGGATATATTTTCACATCCTTGCAGATGCCTTTTCCTGTGTGTCTGCTTTCTGAGCTGCTCCCCCATTGACTGCTGGTAAATTGCTTGCAGCTTTCCCCTTTACGGACCAGGCTCAGTGATTGTGTGTGCCTGGCTGGTTCATGTGCATTTTCATGGAATCTTGGTAGAGGTGCTGAGACACAGCACGGCCCTGATACCTTTGTTTTCCTTCCTGCCAACACTGTAATATATGATGTTCAGATACCATGGACTGCTGTGAGGTTGAGGGGTTAGCTACCATGGGGCACTGACAGGCAACTATGACTCCATCAGCTATAGTCAATGTTCCAGAGTCATGCCCTAAACATTTTCAAAGCAGCCTTAGCCTTCATAGCAGACTAGAGAAGAATATCATGAAGAAAACTGTCCTGACCTACTGGAACTTTCCCACAGTTCCACCAGGGCCTCCTTCATTACACTGGTGCAGGAGGCTTAGCTCTGCTGGCACTGAGCAAATTGAGAGAGAAAACAGATGCCTATGAAGCTTCCAAGAGTTTCAGCACCTGAGCTGAGCACTGCACTTGCCAAGGTTTGCTCACTGCTGTTGGGGACTTTGGTAGCCCCTGCAGGTGTCTGCTGCTGAGTCCATGTGGGACCAGGAGCCCCTTTGGCAGCCTCCCTCTGGGCTCCACAGCTCAGCCTTTTCAGCTCTCACAGCATTTCAGGGAGACCAGGACTCTGCCTTGGTACTTCCAAAAAGGTAAGTCTGCCATCTGCTTCTCCCTCTCTCCTTCCCCTCCCACAGTTAAAGGCAAGATGCTGGACTGACACGGGATGTAAGGACACAATTCTGATCCAAAAGGCAGGCTTGTTTTGTTTGGGTTTAGTTTTTTGAGGCAGGGTACCACTGTATAGCCCCAGAGTAACCTTGAACTCATAGTCTTCCTGCCTCCACCTCCTGAGAGCTGCAATTATAGGTGTTTTACCTCACTTGATTGAAAGGAATGCTACTTCCAGTTAAGACCTTTAGAAGCTTCCATTATAGATAGAAATGAATTAAATGACCTTCACAGTAACCAACATATGAAGCTCCAGTCAGTGCAGTCCCTAGAGGCTGAGCGACCATGGAAGTAAAGACCCAAGCCCTTCCATCTCTAACCTTCTGATCCAAATCCACAGATGTGTATTTTCTATGATCCACTGTTGCATAAACATAAAGCCATCATCAGGAGCCAGACGTGGTGGCGCACGCCTTTGATCTCAGCAATTGGGAGGCAGAGGCAGGTGGAGCTCTGTGAGTTCCAGGCCAGTCTGGGCTACATAGTCAAGAAAGAAAGAAAGAAAGAAAGAAAGAAAGAAAGAAAGAAAGAAAGAAAGAAAGAAAAAAAAGAGGGGGGGGAGGAGAGAGAGAGAGAGAGAGAGAGAGAGAGAGAGGAGGGAGGGAGGGAAGGAAGGAAGGAAGGAAGGAAGGAAGGAAGGAAGGAGGAAGGAAGGAAGGAAGGAAGAAGGAATGAAGGAAGTCAGGTGATCATAGGCTCACTTCCTGGTAGAGAACTGGATTCTGCTTCCCTCAATAAATTACACCAAATTATTCATCCATTCAGTCACTCAGAAAACATTTTATCAGTTATAGTCTAGGCACCATGCTAAAGTTGAAGATTCAAAGAACAGTAGGATTTGCCATCACATGTTCACATCCAAGACAGGAAAGGCCATAGGGACAGATGTCAAAATCAGCACTCCACTGTGTTTACTTCTAGAAAGTCCTCCGCCAGTGATGTAAGAGGAGATTCCATCCCGTGTGTGGCTGTGACAAAGAACAGTCAACACCTTCCTTCCAATCTTCAGAGAGGAAGGTAGAGCCGTAGTATAAGAGACTTGAGGCCCAGAGGTCCTCACTGGGGATAAGGGTCTGGGAACATAAGAGGGAGGCCTTTGGAGTTCACCAAGGCCAAGCCTTCATTTTGTGGCTGACACAACCTGACTATTGTTGTCACCACTATCTTAATTTCTCTTCAAGTTAGGAAGTGCAGATGCCACAAACTGCCAGAAATTCTTATCTACCTTTACTGACCTGGGCTGTGAGGTGAAACCAAATTTCTTTTTCTAGGAAGTCCCTGTGTTTTATTCTTAGTGCTTAAATGCAGCTCTCTACAAGTGAGACTTGAATACCTTTGGGGCCCTGAGTTAATACTCAAGTCCAAAAAGTAGGGG